AAAAAAAAAAAAAAAAAAAAAAAAACTTCACAGAAAGCGGAAGAATGGAATAATGTTACTGGAGTATCTCTGGTTTATATTATTCATGTTATTCCTACTCCACTCTTTACCATTAATGTAAACTACAACATATTATTTATTGCTTTAAACTGAATTTATACATATCTAAATTTACAAAGCAGATCTGGAAGTTGATTTTAAAAGGAATTGCCTTAGATTCTTTGCAAAGTTAAGCTTTACCATGTCTTTACAGATTTTCTATCTTAACAGAGAGACTAGACAACAGAGATTAAGATGAATAATTTCCTATTATGAAATAAGAGAACAGAACTCAATTTTTAACTTCAAGAACATGAAAAGACATATACAAATAACTTCATTAAGCTACTTGGGTTTCAGGCCTGTGCTAATTATAATTTGTACAGTGCAACATACTTAATAACTGAATGTTATAATCATAAATTAAGTTATTAAATAAACAAACTGCTACTAGGAAGGCAATTTTATATCCAAACACACACACACACACACACACACACACACACACACACACGCAAAACACATTCATCCACTGAACATACTGGATAGACGAAAAACTGGAATGACTGAAATCACAAATTAAAACCACACACTGCAACTTCATCAACGTACAGCAGAGAATGACAAGGCAAAGGTCATTCTAAATATTCAATGTGATTAACTTCATTTAATTTACTACAAGAAACTCTTCTTAAACTCCCAATTTTTTTGAAGACCTGTCTTAAGATTGGCGAACTATGATTATTTAAAAAAGGGAGATGGCATAGGCAACATATAGAAGACTAGGCTAGGCAAACACACACCCGTTTCTAGGATGGTCCTAATTTAAAATGCTCTCTTCCCTACCCGTGCTAGTTCTTTTCATGTGACTTTGTTTTATCAATAAGTTTAATAAATTAAATGATTAAATGTGATTTACAAAAAAATTTTTAAGAAAATTTTTAAAGAATATCATAAAGCTAAAAAAAAGTGTTAGGGCACTTGTACCAATTTTTAGTTTAGAAAATGTGGTTATCATAATACATATAAATATAGCTATGTCTATACGCTAAGCTAGCACATCGTCCTCTTGTAAAGTGGGCAAGAAACTGATTTAGAATAGATTTGAAGGAAAGATGAGTAATTCCTTCCAACAAAATTCCTTTTAAGTCAAGGTGGTTATTTTTTATTTCTTTTAAAAAGAAATCCTATAAACAGCACCAATTACACGAAGCAGTGAGGGAAAATAAAATTTCTCATAGAAACCTATTTTTTAGTAAGATTAATCTGTAAGTCAAAGCCACCTGGTTGTGGTTACCAAGAAAAGAGGCTGCCTGAGGTGAGGCTCAGTGGTCACCTACCACCTTTCTGTTGGAAAATGAAATGCCTAAGAAAGTATGATTTCTTAGACTACGTTAGCCCTGAATTCACTAAGACCCTACTATTGAAGGCTCTTTGGGGAATCCAGTGAGCAAAATTTCTTCAGATAACTTCCTTTTCTATTCCCCTAAACAACAACAACAAAAGGGTAAGATTTACAATGATTTAAATGATTACAATGATTAACAATCACTTTTTCCAAGTCTCCCTTTTTCATTTCTATAGTACAAAATTTAATATAGAAATTTAGGAAAAAAGAAAAGAAGGCATTATACTTGCATACAGTAAAGCTTATTAGTATCTATGGATATTAGGATATAATGTAAAATATTACCATCACCTAATAAATCGACAACTTAAGGTTAAAACTGTTAAAGCTACTCAGTATTAGCCAGCCTGGCTTATTTTCTTTTAGCAAAAAGACAACCATTATTTTCGGAAGCACCAACATACAGTCTCTTGGATGGTTTTATATATGCGTTACTTAAGAATGCTGCCAGGTGTTTAACATTACTCAAGTACACTCAGTTAAAAATATCTACATGCCAACACACATTTACAAATTTAGTTTCCTTAGGGATTTGCTAACAAAATAAAAATGAAATAGTTTATAAAATACTGCAATCCACTGGCTTGTCATCTTCCTAACATTGATTTTATTAGAACTTGTGTATCTATTTAAAAATACTCAAGATCCTCTTTATAAACACAATAAGGAAGGAATGTTCCTTGTATGGTATATCATATATCATACAATTTCTGGGTAAAAGGCACAGAACTATTCCAGAATTTGGTTTATCGAGGGGAAGAAGGATCAAAGAGAGTAAAAGGACTGAGGGGGCAGGAAAATATCCTAAGAACAAATGAAGGACTCACACATTTTGCAACTCTCTTGAAGTTTTGGAAGAAAAATTTAGTTTAGAAATTAAAAGAGATTATATTAATAGCCTATCATTAACCATTAGGTTGGTAGCTGTGACAGGTAAACAAAATTTCTTTAATGCGCACTAAAAATACACATATGTGAAAGGGAAAAATAAACCTACCCAATAATAAAATGAAAGCTGACTAAAAGTGTTTTTGAGAAGAACAGACTAATTTTAAACAAAAATTAGTATAACACTTCGTACACCAGGAAGTGACTAAATTT